GTACACACTTGCTATTTTGTTGCTCTGATCTATTTTTGTATCATGCAACCTTGAGTCGCTAACTCATTGTTGGGACACTGACCTCAAATCCTACTTATCTTCTACCCCATAAACCCCTCAAACTAGTGATTTGACTAGCAGTGGGTTTACAGTTACAGTTCTAATTATGATTTTCAACTATGATAGTCATTTTAGCTAATTTCCCATATAGGGAATAAGCTATTATCGTAGGTTTCAAGGTATAAGACTTTGAAGGGTAAGACTTTGACCCGGGGCCGATTTTCTTTTTCATTTTGATGTCCCTAGACACCAAAAACACTATCCGTTCAAATTCATATATACATTATATACCTATATAGGTACTGTATATAGGCTATATATATTTATATAGATGTAGCTCTATATATATATATATATACATAACCATTATACAAATCAAACAACATATATGTATGGAAACTACTTTTGCTAAGCATTACAATTTTTACCTTCACCAGGGGACAACCATTGAGGAGTAGGTACATAATCTTTAATGTAAGCATAGGTTGATATGCACATCATTTTAGAGGGTTAGTCAAGTAGAGTTCATTGCCAGAAACCGCATCTCAAAAGGTTCATCCGTTACAAAATGGCCGCAGTCCAAAGTTCTTGTGGAATATACCTGCACAGGCCTTAGTATTGGTAAATACTAGTATTCAAAATTAGCTTGAGAGCTGAAATTGTATTTTAAAGTAAACTAGCTCATAGACTAATCATTCAATCTTAAAAACAAATTTAACCAGGCTTCAGCTTTCCCTGCTAATGTTGACTGTGAGCTAGTGTATATCGGGATTGAGACCCCTATATACGCATGACCAATTTGGGCTGACATTTTTAAATACCAACAAACGGATTTAATTTTTTTTTTTGTCACTATTGAACAGCTTTAAAATTTCTTGTTCAGACTAACATTAGTCACTCACAAACATAGGCCTAGTTTTCTTTTGTGGAGAAAATAAAAAAAAACTAAATTTAAAATTCCCATGTTATTCTTATGGAGAATAAGTAAACTGTTGTAGTTTGCTTGTTTATGGACATATTTTGATAAAATAAATTTGGAAAATGCGTTTTACAAAAAAACACACTTTTACCCTTCTTGTTGCAGGAAACCTAAGTACTCGTTATAGTAATTATATTTAAATAAGGAATGAATTTAATATTTTCAAGGAGACTTTTTAGTGTAAATCCAATCAGGCAAATGGAAATTCCCTTAGTCTGCAGGTTTGCTGCGGCGGGGGTATATTACATGATGACGATGATTGGAGTGTCTAATCGAAATTGATCACAACAAACCATTTTTTATGTTTTTACCGTCCTTATTAGTCAGCAGTTTAGTGTAGACATATTTTTACTTACCTTCCATATATTCTTTTCGGGTTTAAATTTTAGGCTTGAATCCCATCCTGGGATTTGGGGATTTGTCTAAATTTATCCTGGGATCATTTGATTTTAGAATTTTCACATTTTATAAATTTCAAGTGGGTATATTTATAAAGTTTAGGCCTATTTATCCTATATTTATAAAATTCAAGCCCACAAAAGTTTTAAAATAATCTTAAGCATTTTGTAATGCACACTTTTTGCTGTCCATCTAAATTCAAACATAGTACCACATGGGACTTTTATCACTGTTTTTCTTATGAGCAGTGCATAGATTTTGATCAGCCGTTCTTGAATGAATGAAATACACACTAAAGAGGACACAAGCAACCACACTCGTGTAAATGTTACTGTTGTTCACTCCAAACAAATAATGTAAGTTTCACAGCTCTGTATCCTTTGACCACTGGGGAACAACCATGCAAATGCAAATCTTACTGCTCAGTTATATAAACCAAAAAATAGTACTGTATAAGGATAGTACCCCCCCCCCCCCTGCATCCCACAGCAAACCTACAGACTAAGTTAATTTCCATTTTCCAGATTGGATTTTCAATAAAATATTCCCTTAAAATTGTAAGATTTATTCCCTATTTAAATAACATTAAGTTTAACGAGTACCTTCGTTTGCTGGCTACGAGGCAGGTATTAAAGTATGGGTTTTATTTAAAACAATAGCATATCATGAAATAAGAAATTTTGCCAAATTTAAACAAAATATATCCATAAACAAGCAAACTAGAGGTCCGTGAAGTTAGCGTACCCATATTAGCGTATCCACTTTTGTTCATACCAATTGTTAGTTATTCGTTAGTTCTCGATAGTTCCCCAATATTTTGTTAGTTCTCTAAAAATAAAAAAGTTATAGCCGATAATAAGTGGGTACGGTACAACCCGTACTAACAATTGTTATATAGATATAAGCATTTTTCATGAGAAAACGGTGCCTGTTGGAAATTCTATAATTGCTAACTTCACACTTCCAGTTTCTAGTGTGCACTGTTTTCTGATGAAAAATGCTTATATATCTATATATCAATCGTTAGTTCCCCAATATTTTAGTTTGTTCTCAAAAAAATAAAAAAATTCAATCTTTAACATGGGTACGCTAACTTCACACCTATAGAATTTCCAGCGGGCACCAATTTCTAACGAAAAATCCTGATATCTATATATCAATAATTAGTTCCTTTTTAGTTCTCCAATATTGTTTTTAGTTCTCTATAAATAAAAAAGTTACAAGGCATGAAAAGTGGTTATGCTAACACATTTATAGAATTTCCAGCGGACACCATTTACTGACGAAGAATGCTTAGATCTCTACAGCATACCAACGGTTACTTCTTTGATTCTCTTGACACTTCTTCGAGATTTTCATTAGTTCTAAAAAAATAAAACAAAGCTTGGTATAAAGTTGTTCTTCATACGAATGTGGTAATTGTCAGATTAATGAAACCATTTATTACCGGCCATAACATTGTTTTAAATTTTTAGAACTGACGAAGATCCGTTAAAACTATTGAGAATAAACGAAGCAGTAACAATACGTATATTATAGATATAATTATTTTTCGTCAGATAAAGGTGCACACTAGAATTTGTGTATGTTCATTTTTTCCACCTTATATCTTTTATTTTATTTTTGGAGAACTAACATCAATATGGAAGAACTATAAAAAAATGAGGAACTAATTTTTTATACAGATTTTTCTTCAGAAAATGGGGCCCGCGGTAAAGTCTATAATTGTGAAGATAGCATACCCACTTGTTATGCCTCGTAACTTTTTTATTTTTGTAGAACTAGCAACAATATTGGAGAACTAACGGATGGTAAACAGATATAGGCTAATAATTTTTCGTCAGAAAACGGTGCCCGCTGGAAATTCCATAGGAGAAATGTTAGCATACCTACGTTGAATGTCTTGTAACTTTTTTAATTTTTGAGAGCTAACAAAAATATTGGGGAACTTACGAGAACTAACGAAGAACTAACAATTGTTATATAGATATAAGCATTTTTAATGAGAAAACGGTGCCTGTTGGAAATTCTATAATTGTTAACTTAGCATACCCACATTTTATGCCTCGTAACTTTTTTATTTTTCGAGATTCAGCAAGATTGTGCAACATGGTGGTCGTGGCAAGGATCACACCATAATAAGAGAGGATTTGGAGTGGTGTTTGTACTAAAGTATTTAAACTGTTTTAATCAAATATTATATTAAATATTTTTTTACGTTCAATTAAACATAAAAATTAAATTAATTAATATTTACATCTTTATTATACACCCATTGTCAACCACTTACCATAGGCCTGAATTAAACAATGCTTAACACATTACATTGTCTAATCCAGAGAGTAATTTATGTATTTTTTTCATGGTAAAACTTAGACCCGGGACTGATTTTTTTGCATTTCGATGTCCTCAAACCTTACCAATTGGTTTCAATTTGTATATGGTGTCTGTGTACATGATAACTTGAGCAATTATGGTCCTCAAATTAATTTTATTAACTATTAATTTTATTTTATTAATTTTATTCTGATCAAATTTGGCATGAATGTGTAGGGTCATGGTCATATGTCATTTATTTGACCATTTACATTAGTGCATTGGCTAAGTCAAAAATATACAGTTTGTTTTATAAACTAGCACAACTTTTAAACTAAACAATATTTAACAATTCTTAAACAAAGCACACTATGTACCCGGGACTACAACAGGAAAAAACTCACGTACACGGTAACCTAGTAGCATTTAGACACTGGTAATTTTGGAAGTATTTTTTTTAATAACAGGGGTTGGCTCAATTTTTAGGTAATTTGGCAATGCATTGAAAAACACTATACCGTTATAATAAATAAAAAAATTAAAAGGGTGGTTGAATGCTTTGGTATCTGTGGATTAAGACTGTTTCGCAAAGAATATGGGCATAATCTGGAACTTGTAAACATAGTAATGTTTTTTTTTTTTTTTTGAAAAGAGAGTATATACATGGAGAAGTTAAAATATTTGAATACGAAATAATTCTTTGCAGGAAGTTCGCAAACTGAATTTGAAGGGCTTGATAAACTTGAATGAGTATTGCCACAGACAATGGATAACCCATTTTCTGTGGTGTCGTGAAGCAGCAATATTAGGTCATGTTAACAGTTATAGGGTTTTATAATTTTCAAAAATAAATTATTTAAACATGAAATATCAATTTCCATTTTTTTGTAGCCATCGAGTGTAGAGCTTAAAAGACAAATAAATTTTATGTTTTGTAGTTTTTTGTATGATAAAGAATGTTTCAACTAATTCTAAAAAATCTCTGAACATTTAAAACCCTTATAGACAATAGTAAACTGTTGTAATTTACAGTTTTATTGAATTTTGCCTGATTATTTATCTTAACTATCTACATTTTATTAAAACACGTTTTTCTTCCCTGTAGCAGCAAACCTATGTACAGTAGGTCTTCTTGTTTGTTAGTTGTTAAACCTGATGTTACTGAAATTGGGGAAATATTTAATTAAAAAATGTAATCGGGCAAATGGGAGTTGGCTTAGTTGTCAGGTGTAGGTGGAGATGAATGTGCAGTACAGTATACACCAACTCTAGCGGTGGCGGTGGCGGTAAGCGACTGAAGTCAGTCACGTGACGGATTACGTCATCTGTCTCAGTGTAAGTTGGTTGGGAGTCGGAGAGACTATTCTGACTATTGATCACCCAGTACCAGCGCTTGCTCCCGCTCGGCAACCTTCGACAATTCCCGCCCGAGTTCGGCGTTTCAGGTCAATCTATCAGCACGGTGCTATCTCGTGTGTTAAGATGACATTTATTTTTTATATTCCCGTCGCCGACAGTGGTTATTTCTACACAGCCAGTAAGACGATCAATATTTATGCCTGCTTTCCCTTATAGCTGTAAACTAGTGTCTGTTGGTGTTTGCCGGGTTCGAATGTTCGAATGTTTTGAGCGGCAAAATTGATTTGTAGCTTGGCGGCTTGTCATCCCCAGTATGATCTTGTAAATCTTGAATTGCCGCTGCAATGATTGTCTCTTTGGCGGTTGTACGTGTTTATAATCCCGGGACCGCATAGTTTTACACGTTAATAATTGTTTATTTAACTCGCAAAATTGAAATAAAATAAATACTAATTTTCTGTGTTTATTAGAAATACAGCATGTGTATGTTATTCGGGTCTATGATTGCATTGGTATTTTGTACAAAATAGAATTACATATAATATTCAATTTAAAATCCCACGATAAAGTGATGACCATAGTTCTTTTGTAAGATTGTCATAAATTTGTTTTTAAAATAATTGGCTTTTACGGTAAAAAGAATTTTGTTAGCTGCAGTTATGATTACTAATGACATGAAAGCTATACTGAGACAAGACAGAAACAGTATCACGTCAGACCTAGATGTCAGTATAGGCATACAGCATTAAGTTAGATCTCGGCGACAGTATGATAGACATATAGCAAGAGCAGTGATAAAACATGTCTTTTGATGTTTGTTATGCTGTGTGTAACGTTGTCTTGCCTAATTTCATCTTTTGGCAAACTCTGTGACGTAGTGTTCTGCGCTTGCGCCGAGTCGGATTAGGAGTGATAAAATTGGCAAAGAAAATTCAAGTATTGGGTATGATTAGTTGATAGAGTTTGGCTGATTTGGTGATCTACAATGCCTATACAAACAAACACTACAATACCCCCGCCGCAGCAAACCTGCCGACTGAGCGAATTTACATTTCTGAATTGATTTCCAATTAAATATATTTCAATAACATTAGGTTTAACGAGTACCTAGGTTTTCTGCTACAAGGAAACTAATAAAGTGTGTTTTTACTCAAATATTAGCTTAGTAAATTTACAATTATAAATTATTTGTGTTTTAAGCTCTTTAAAGAGGCCTAGAGAGAAATTGGGAAATTTTGTGTTTTGAGGGTCTTAAATTAGAAAACCCAATTTTTACCCGGTAAAACCCCCCGTAAAACCCTGTTCCCATGGTCCGATCATGCTGGTTCGCGAACTCATTCAAGTGTATCCTGCCTTACACCTTTAAACCAAATTGCATCAAAATCGGACTAAAAATACTCAATTTATCGCGTTCACGGCCACACACATATATACATCACATAGGTTCACACATAGGCACACACACATAGGTTCGGCGAAACCTATAATTTATAATATATATCTACCACTTATACCCATATATTATCTATACACGGTAAATATATATATTTGAATGAATGGTGTTTTTGGTTTCTGGGGACAACAAAATGAAAAAGTAGACTAAGTTATATATTCCCCGGGCCTAGGTCTTACCGTGCCACCTACGGTAATAGCTACTTCTTTACTGCAAAGATTTGGCAATACATTGGGCGGGAGTTGGGCGTACTGGCGTTTGCACTGGGTAAATTGCCGGTTATTACCTTATACATTTATAGCTGTATTCGTATGGAGTATAGTTTTTGTATTATAAAAGTAGTTTGAATAGCATCGCGTCGTCCGCTGTGCGCACACACCGGTAAAGACGAATTTGTTTAATGGGAAAGGATAAAACCAAAGCAAGTATAAATGTTATTTGACGGAACGGTACAATAAAAAACATCTTGTGCTGCGACCTGTCCTTTTGTGCGTGGCGGCAAGGATAGATGTTATTTGACGTAACAGAAAAAGACAAAGCCGTTTTGTGCCGCGGCCCGGCGTGTTAGTTTGTGCGCGTCAGCAAGTCGGATGTTATTTGACGGCACGGACAGTACAAATCAGCCGTTTTACACCGCATCTTGTCCGTTTGTGCCGTCTTGGATTTTTTGTACTTTTTTAAATTAATTTTACTTAAATAAAATTTTTTTGGGGTTGGTTGAATTACACGAACTTTTTATATGACAAATAGGTTTACATACTTTATAAATCCGACAAACAGCTCAAATTGTACAGAAAATTGATTATATGTTTCGGCTTGTATCTGCCATTGTCAAAACATTGTAGTGGGATGAAGAAATACTTGTCTGTTTACTAACAAACATAAACACACACACACAAACGAACGGGACGACGACATTTACGAAACGAATAAAACTTAATAGGCCTTCTGCATCATGACCTTCACCGCGTTGCGCGTCCTGTACGTGCATTTTAGTAATAAGCCTATCAAGTTTTATTCTTTCGTAATGTCGTCGTCCCGTTCGTCTGTGTGTGTGTGTGTTTATGTATATTAGTAAACAATGACAAGGATTTCTTCATCCAACTGCAATTTTTTGACATTGGCAGATACAAGCCGAAACATGTTAACAATATTCTGTAAAATTTGAGCTGTTTGTCGGATTTATAAGGTATGTAAACCTATTTATAATATAGAATATAAAAACTCAGGAGATAGAATGGGAATTAATTTTAAAACACTTTTAGCGAATTTCCCTATAGGGAAGTAGCTATTACCGTAGGTGGCACGGTAAGACCTAGACCCGGGACCAATTTACTTTTTCATTTTGATGTCCCCAGAGGCCAAAAACACCATTCGTTCAAATTTTAGCGAATTTCCCTATAGGGAAGTAGCTATTACCGTAGGTGGCACGGTAAGACCTAGACCCGGGACCGATTTACTTTTTCATTTTGATGTCCCCAGAGGCCAAAAACACCATTCGTTCAAATTTTTATATATGTATATATATATATATAGACTTATATATATATATATATATATATACGTCCGTGAACGCGATAACTTGAGTAATTTTTGTCCGATTTTGATGAAATTTGGTTTAAAGGTGTAAAGCGGGATAAACTTGAATGAGTTCGCGAACCAGCACGATCGGACCATGGGAACGGGGCTTTACGGGGGGTTTTATGGGGTAAAAATTGGTTTTTCTCACTTTTGACCCTCAAAACACAAAATTTCCCGATTTCTCTTTAGACCTTTTTAAAGAGCTTAAAAAAACAAATAATTTAGTATATAAAAGTATTTTTGTTCGATTGTTAGTAACGGAGAAAATTAAAAAAATTGTAAATTTAAAATTCCCATGTTATTCTTATGGAGAATACTGTCAAATGTTGTAGTTTGCTTGTTTATGGAAATATTTTGATCAAACTTGGCAAATTTATTTATTTTGTACTACGCTATCAACATTTTACTAAAAAACACACTTTATTAGTTTCCTTGTAGCAGCAAACCTAGGTACTCGCCAATCCTAATGTTATTAAAATATATTTAATTGAAAATCAATTCAGACAAATGGAAATTCGCTTAGCCGACAGGTTTGCTGCGGCGTGGGTATTTATTTATTAAATAATTTTCTAACCTGATAAAAAATTTACTTTGTCACACCATTTTATTTTTTAGTCATTTTACTGTTGTAATAAACTCATTGTAAATACTTTGAAGTTCACACTGTTGGTAAACCAGGTAACATTGGTTGAAAGGAAGTGCAAGTAATAATTTTGAGATGGTAAAATTGTTGATTTTACAAGAAACATATTTTGTACTAGTGCTTTGTTTGCAATTGGAAAGTGTCCTCATTAAGTTTGTTTCAATTGTTTGCAACTCTGAATATAGTTTGACTTTGTAATGCATTTTTATGTTCACATAACACTCAAGTAAACTTCTACATCTATCATAAAATATACATCACATTTTGCTCTTGGTGTAACATAACTTTTCTTTTCACAGGCAATGTGTGCAATACGTAGAGTAGATACGTAAACGTCCTCCTGTTGCTATTAAAGAGGTAAGTTTGTTTAGTGAATTTCCTTTGTTATATAAAATAATTAACATGCCTGGTTTTAATATAATTGTGCCCAACAATTAAAATTTTTTACTCTATGACTTAATGTTTTTTATTAGTTATGTGCAATGTAACATAATGTAAACCTAATGAAATATAAAATGGAAACTGTAGGCCTACTGATTTTCTTCCTTTGCTCTGAGCATTTCAAAACAGTTGTTAACTTTTTCCAAAATTAGGTTACTGTACAGGTACAAAAATTGAAACAAAAAGATGATTCAGCCAAATTTAATTCCTGCTCAGTTATAATATATTGAGGTGTGTATTTTTTATCAACTTTATGACTTATTAATTAAATAGCAAATAGACTAAACATCCCAAACTAAACAAGCAAGTTGATAATAGTAAGAAATTAGAACAAAAAAAAAAAAAACAAAAAAAGTTCTATAACTGCCTTTCCAACAAACAAAACGTTTTCTACCCAGAACCAAAATCCGAGTTATAAATAAAGTTCATTATCTTTCCCTTTGACATCACTATTTCGTTTTTTGTTGTTTATTTATATAAAACTGCAATTATAAGAAATGAATCCTATTAATTTAGTCTTTTCCCAATGCATGTAAAACAGAATATATTCATTGTAATGTTAGAGACTCCATAGATTAGCAAATATCTAACAGGAATTACTTAGTAAAAAAATAAATAAATAAAGATGTTAAATTTTGACTTTTGCATTTTTTTATGAGTCAGTGTTGTAAATCAAAGAAATATAAGATTTTCAAAACAATTTGCAGAATTCCTCCTTTGCCCTTATGTGACATCTTATCACATCTTTATAGACATGTCATCAATTGTGTTAATCTACCCTCTATTTGTATTAATTGTTTTCATCCATCACAATATTTTTTCCTTCTTTTGACTTCCATACTCAAAGAGGAGGTTCACGAGTTCTTGGTTGCGTGGCCCGCGGTTATCGTTGATCTCGGCAAATTTTAACCGACGGCCAAAAAATGGGTTCACGACATAGAGCGTTAGCCAAGACCAACGTTGGCCGTCGCTCAACAGCAGGGATTTACAGGAAATTTTCTTTGGAAGGTTGGCAACAGCCACATGGGCCCCTCAGCAGGTTTAAGTTCAAGTCCAAAACCATTGTTATTTTCGCCTGAGATAATCCTATTTGCGCTAGACCATGACTCAAGAACCCGACAAGTTGATTTTTTGGCCCGGGGTGTTTTCTAATTGGACTCGTGAAGCCGACTTTTTGCGCTCAGGTTTATCCCTCTCATAAATTGGATGAAGTTTATCTGTCTGCGCCCGAGCGCGGATAACCTCGTACTCGTGAACCTGATTTCTAACCGTTATAACTGGATTTTGCGCTCGGACTTAGGATTATCTGTGACTCGTAAACCACCTCTAAGTTGCTCATTGTGTTTTTGTTTATAATTTTTTAGTTTTGTTCTGGTTTATGTACTAATATTGTTACGTTTAAATACTTTTTTCATCTAGGGGCGTGATTGGATTCCAGATTCTAACAAAGACTTAGTGAAAACTTAGTTTTTCCCATTCGGATTTCTTCAACTAATAAAGATGGAAAATTTCTGCATCTTATACTTACGCTCTTTAAACCCCTTTTGTTCCAGTTTCACCTTTATATCCTAAGATGTAACTAGCTAGGCTCTACCTGGAACTGTTTTCACATTCCTTAAAAAAAATACAAATTACTTTATAAAAATATGAGTTATATTATTGTTTTTTAGGTTTTTGATTCAATAATATATATATATACAGGGTGGTAATAAAGTCCGAAGACAGTTCAATATTTTCTAAACGACAACAGATAAATTAATAAGATTTGGTACATCAACACCACACCTAAAAATCTACTTTTTTAGGAAATATAAATTTCCTGTCATATCATAGGGACGTCCTATAGCAAGGAGTCAGAAGGAAATCTTAAATAGAAGCATAGGTTGACATGTACATCAAAATAAAGGTCTTTACTAGCAGAATATAATGTCGCAAATTTGAACTAAAACGGACAACCGAGCCAAGAATTACAGTTGTTCAAAGATTCATTTAATTTGCATTGCTATTATACGCTTACTCCTCAGGGGGCACAGCCCTAGGAATCGGAAGAAAATTGTTAACGTAAGCATAGGTCGATATGCACATGAAATCAAGGTCTTCACTAATAGATTACAATGCCGTAAATTCAATCTCAAAAGAACGCCTGAGTAAAAAATGGCAGTCGTTCAAAGATTCAAAATGGCAGATTCAAGAAATCTTTGAATGGCTGCCATTTTGTGCAGGATCAGTCTTTTGAAGTGTGGTTTGCGGCATTGTATTCTACTAAAAAAGACCTTCCATTTGATGTGCATATTGACCTATGCTTCCATTTAAGAATTTATTCCGACTCCTTGTGGGTCGTCCCCCTGAAGAGTTATTGGATCACTGAATATGTGTTAAAATAAAGTTTTATGCTCTGTAACTTTGTACCAAGTACTGTAGCTCTATCTACATTATTTTTTAAAATATTTAACTGTCTTCAGACTTTATTACCACCTTGTATATATTATATTAGGCTTTTATTTTGAAACATTTTTCCGGGAGAGGACCCCTGGACCCCCTTTTCTTTGCTGATTTGTGAGATTTGAACCCGCAACCTTGGAGATGGAAGGCCCCCTCAACCACTAGACAAGCTCGCTCCCCTTTAGACCTTGAATATGGCTTGTTGCAGGTCCGAAAGAGTTGCAAAGATGATGTGGCTACGTAGTGAAAAGAGATGTCGGCCAAGGCTGAGATGGTGTGGCCGGGGTGGAGGGGTACAGAAGGTAGCAGCCATCGACCACACTTCCGCCCGTGTATCCACACACAGCTCTCGTGTCAGCCGTTGCGGCAGAGTTACAAAGTGGCGTAGAAGGAGTGGCAGTCTTCTCAAAGAGGTTTCTCATTCAGACAGTGTTACATAGTGTGTTAGCTTAATAGTTGGCCTTACATTAAACCATTGACTTTTGGACACTGAAGTAGACATGATCTATACAGCGTGTCAAGTTAAGTAAAGTGCTTTACTCTGTTAAGGTGTTTTATGTGTACAAAAACGTTTTTTCCCCATATATCCGTCATTTTGTTTATTTTTTACACAAAGAATCTCATCTTTGTTTTTTTAACCTATTTCTTGGAAATCGGCATTTAGTTAAAATAAATAAAAGAGATAGATTTATTGAAAAATTAATTTTATCCAATATAACATTTTTAATTGCAGCCTTTTAAATATTCAAAGTCGAATTCCATGAAAACAAGAGACTCAGTCATTAATTTACATTTCATCACATTTAAATCCCTTTCAAATTCAAATCCAATGACTCTTTGATTGTAAAAATTGGTTAATAAAAACTAGTTAGGTATAACAATGGTGGTAATTTTATTTTTACGTTTACAATCCTAAAACACCTTGAAGTACAGCATTTTGTTCACACTAAAGAAGAGTATTAATACATTTATGTACAGTTGCATATTTTAACTAGAAGTGGTGTGGTGGACTATCTTTGACAAAGAACACCTATTTGCCTGCTAGTGATGTTTTGTATGTTACAGCAAGCAAATATGTTACTGACATTTATTTTACTGTTTTTAGATACAGAAATGTTTTGCAGAAAAATCAAAATTCAATTGTAAAATTTTGACAATAAATAAAAAGAGCCGGGTGTCGGTATTTGGACGACTTGACGATTGTTTCTCGATTCCGATACCAATGTTCAAAAATCTATGGAATCAAGAATCGACACATAAAGAAGCTGTTTCTTTTTAATCTTTTCCCATCTTTTTTGCCCACCCTATTGAGTAATCAGCTGATTTGATAGAGCATCGATTGTAATTGTCTGCTAAACACACATCACTGTGCAGACGATGCATTACACCACAACAACGTAACTCAACTCATAACACAGTAGCTTGTATTAAGTTTTCATATAATCAGCAAGATATAAACAGTTGTTGAACACGTTTTTCTACTTTGAAAAGTTTAAATAAAATATTAGCAAGAACACTCGATATCTTCTAACAACGCAGCAACATATTTTGTAAGTGAGTAAGGGCCCCTCCGCAATTGCGGACCTGGCCAGTCCAGGCCTGCTTAAATGATTATATTAACTGACAAGTTTCATCAATTAAATTGTATATTTTGACCCACTTCCTGGAGTTTAGTGACATCACTTGTTTGTTTTTCGTACCAATATAACCAATAACTATTTACATTACAGACATGCAAAGAAAATGTTTCACCCTACCACAGTCTCAAGAAAGGGTTTTCACGTTCAAAGAAGATTCTACTTGAAGATAAACTATGCTCAAAGATTTCTGAGAAAGATATTCAGGTAATGAGTTCCACTCTTAAATCATCAAGAGTAAACTGTAGAAGGAATAAACAATTTACTGTGAATACACGTTTTGCATTTAAAGCAGCGATTGTAATTTAGAATAAACGTAAGTCTAACCTTTGCTTGGTACAAACACAAACCAAAGTTCAAAATTAAAGTATAGCTTCAGAACATAAAAACTACAGTACAATAACCAGTGACGTAGCCAGTCCTAAATTTTATATATTTTTTTTGTTAATTTAAACATAAAATTATATAACTATGCTGTTCTTTATTTCTTATTATTAAGGTAGAAATTAGTAAGCCAACTGGTTAATCATACTAAGATGTATAAATAGCCTATATATGTATTGTAAGAAAGGGGATTAACCCCGTACCCACGGTGCTCATCTAAGCAGACACTCTGTTCACATTACACTTAGTCGACCAGTTGGTGTGAACAGAGTTGAACAGTAGCATGAGCATCGATTTACAAATTCGTTTCCCAGCTGACGTGAGCTAGGCGATGACCGGTAGGGCTGACTTCCAAGAAACATCGCTAACCTATAAGCCACACACCCTATCGGTAATCAGCCAATGAGAAGGGCTAATGAAGAAGATGGAGGGGTGAGGAGTCTTGGAGCTGGAGGACCTGAAGGAAAAAATCGAGGAGATCACCACGGGCCACGGGACGAAGAAGATCGAGAGTTTCGGAGTGCGTGTATCGGTGCGTGTGCTTCTGGGACAATAAACAGTATTGTAGAAAATGTTAACTTTTCAATAAGATTTACTGCAGCCATTAAACATAGCATTTTGTAATGGGCATTGTTACTTAATAGTTTTTTAAAATACAGTAATCATACATTCAAGATAATCATGCAATTCTAACACTCCCCCTTGCATTCAAATGTCTTAAAATCAATTATTACGTGTTGAATATGCTCTCATTGTGTTATAATATTACTTCATAAACCCTATTCATTTTTTCTCCTTGCGTAATTTTATGGTTTGTTTTAGGAAAATGAAGAGACAAAAGAGAATTGGCAAGGCTGTTTGCACAATAGCAATTCTGGAAACTTGTATGCAGCAAGCAACAACAACAACCAGAACTTGTCCTTGAGTCTGGTGCCAGAATTAGCCCACCTTTTGCATCTGAAAAGAGATGAAGATGGTAATTTATGTTTTATTTTCAACTACCTAAACTGCCTTTCAAGTAGAGTAATCTTAATATTACAACTTTAAAAGACTCATTTTTATCTTATGTCATGTATGGTCAGTGGAAAATATGTTTTAACCAGACCAATCTTAATTGTAAGCAAATGGTTCTAAACTTAATTTATGTTCAGTTCTTAATTATATTTATTACATGTTTTAAAACAACAAAATCTGAAAGAATCCAAATTTGCTATTAGCCTAACTCAAAACTAATATCTTTCATATATTGTAGTAGAAATAAATTTTACAAACTTTTAAAATGAAAGAGATTATAGGAGGAAAGTTTTTTAACCAGGAATATCTTCCTTTGGGCTCTATGTTTAATGAAACATTTACTCGCTATAAAAAAATAACTTAAAATCTTTCATGATTTACAGTTGAGCTCGAAAGCCTAGATTGTGCTTACGAAGACTCTGATATGAAACTGAAGCCCACCAATGAAGAAGACTGCTATGTTTTCTATCCAGAAGATGAAGAAAATAACTCATCTAATCAGGTAAAGTAGACAGTAATTAGCTGATAGTTGCAATGTGTGCTGTCAGATTTTTAACTAATAAAACAGAAATTGAGTGTAGGATAACCTAAGCTTTTGTGTTTTATCAATTGTTCTTAGGTTATAGGCTGAATGAATAAATTGCATCCCAACCAAGAGAGGCTTTGTGTAGATAGTTTTAGATTTTTAGATGACATTAATTAAAATAATATATAAATCGGCTGTTGATATCTTTGAACCAAAATAGTATTACAATTCCAACTGAAAACTTACAAAAAAAATAACAGGTTATCTGAAAAGACATCAACATTTTAGTTAGTTGGGGCTTTACTATAACTCAATATTGGGTTTTAAACTTGTCTCCCATGATGATTACTTTTGCCGCAGACTAGCATGGTGTCCCAGTGCTCTACTGATGATGAGTGGGAAACATTTGATCCGTACCTGTTTATCAAGCACCTACCTCCCCTCACCTCAGAGATGAGAGCTAGATGTCCAGCTCTTCCACTCAAAACCCGCAGCAGCCCTGAGTTCTCTCTTGTATTGGACTTGGTAAGTGCCCATAATAGACTAAGGCTATCTGCTGTCATTTTTTAATTACCTAAGTAATTAGGTTTTCAAAATACCCTGGATTTTGATATTGGATCACGTTATTTAGAGATTTTTTCTTAAAGAATTAAGCTTGTAAATTCAACAAACAAGTCTATTAACAAATATTTAAGCCTAATAAAGATATTTCCAAAAATAATACAAATTTGTGCAAAGTATAAACATTATGCAATGTATGTATCAGATTTGTAACTTTTTTATCACTATGTTAATGCATTTAAATCAGTTGAAACAAGAAAAATATTTTATTTTAGATTTTAAGCTACGCTTTTTGCTTACCTAGATACCAAAGGTGCTAAACACAGTACGTTGCCCCCATGTTATCATTCTACTTTTATAAAACCTGGTAAACTTCATTGTTCTATTGTAGGCCTTAGAAATTCAACAGTTTGGTTCAATGTATAGTATCTGAGTGTAAATTTGGCCAACTATTTCATATTGTTGAAAGGCACATCAAGAATATGACTCCACCCTGTGTCAAAAGATAGTCAAAAGTAAAGATTCAAAACATCACAATATCACATTGGTTTATTACTTTAATATTTTTCAGGATGAAACATTGGTCCATTGCAGTCTCCAAGAGCTTCAAGATGCCTCTTTTTCATTCCCAGTTTTGTTCCAAGAGTGCAGCTACACTGTCTTCGTCCGGACACGACCTTTCTTCCGAGAGTTTCTTGAAAGAGTTTCAGCCCTGTTTGAGGTCATCTTGTTCACAGCTTCAAAACGAGTTTATGCCGATAAACTTCTGAATCTCTTGGATCCATCTCGTAGATGGATAAAGTAAGTATAATTATCAAAATACCACTTGATCGTTTTATTAGTGGTTTTTTGTAAAGTGCCCTTGGCCAAGGTATGTTTATCTATGGAGGAGTAGGCTTGTGACCTTTATAGAGGATGAGATCGCTCTTTGTTTCAAATCCAACAACCATTGTACTGTCCGTTATGGTAAAATGAGATTTTTGCACCATAATGTTTATCAGTCATGTGTGTATACTAATGAACTGGGAACATTAGGAACCTGGATACCTACTTAAAGCATGGCTATTCTAAATTATGAATTAAATAAATGCAATGTTGTTAAATATTAAGTTAATTTCACTCAAACTGTGACTATACCAAGAATATATCCACAGTAAAATCATATACAGGGTTAGTAAAAAGTGTGGAGACCCCCTGTTATTTTTTTAACGGCCCATACTAGAAAAACTAAACTCGGCACACCATTATGGCATGTTATGAAGTACTTTTTGGGCATAACCGCCACTTGGTGTTCATCCCCAAAATGGGAGATTTTGGGGGAAACTTAAAAAGTTCAAATACAAAGACCCATCGAGTGACCCCTCATTTTGAAGGTCCTGGTAAAAGAAGACCAACAACGCAAACTAGAGGTCTTTATCTCAATCCAGTAAAAAATGGCAGCCAATTGAAATTCTCAGAAGTTAAATTTAACTTACAGCTTTCCAAGTCTGAAGACCCCCTGTAAATTTTGTAGCGGCTCACACTAGGAAAACTAAACTCTACACACCTTTTTGGCATGTTATGAAGTACTTTTTACGCCTAATAGCCACTTGCTTACCAAACCCAAAATGGGGGATTTGGGGGAAACTCAAAAGTTTTAAATAATAAGCCCCATCAAGTGACCCCTCATTTTGAAGGTCCTGGTAAAAGAAAACTAACAACGCAAACTAGAGGTTTCTATCTCAATCCAGTAAAAAATGGAAGCTGATTGATATCTGTAGAAATCGGTAATAACTTGCAATTTTATATTAAATTGACTGCCATATTTTACTGTGTTAAGATATAGACCTATAGTTTGCGTTGTTTTCTTTTATTAAGACCTTCAAAATGAGGGGTCTCGATGGGGCTTATCATTTAAACTTTTAGAGTTTCCCCCAAAATCCCCCATTTTGGGATTGGGAACTTATGAGAATTTCAATTGGCTGCCATTTTTTACTGAACTAAGATAGAGACCTTTAATTTGCGTTGCTGGTTTTCTTTTACCAGGACCTTTAAAATGAGGGGTCTTTCGATGGGTCTTTGTATTTGAAATTTTTGAGTTTCCCCCAAAATCCCCCATTTTGGGGATGAACGACAAGTGGCGGTTATGCCCAAAAAGTACTTCATAACATGCCATAATGGTGTGCCGAGTTTAGTTTTTCTAATATGGGCCGTTAAAAAATAACAGGGGGTCTCCACACTTTTTACTAACCCTGTATTTCCTCAGTACTCGGCTCATGAGCTCACCTATAAGGCCTGTCCTAGCTGAGCGGTAAAAATTCGGTCGGCGTTGCGTGCGTACGAATCGACCGGCTGCAAAATTTTCAAACGCACGTTAACATATGAGAGTGTCCTAGCTGACCGAACGATGCGATGGTTGGTGGTGCATCAACGCAGCTACCTGCGGCGAAACACAAACTGGTTTGTCTTTGGTCGTCAGTGCGAATTTGGTTGACAGTGCGGCAATTACGAGATAGAGTAATCAACAGAGAGGCCTCATAAGATTTTTAGTCTTTAACGAGAAATCTCTTTTCAATTCACTGACTACATGATCAAAGGTTACAATTTACATCCTTGTATAGTTTGTGAATAATTCAGAATTAGTTTACACGAGGAATAATGGAATTCACCAAACTGATGCCTTTCCTTAAAAATTGCATTAGTAGGTGCTCTAGTTGCCAGAGAATTCTCAAGTTTTCCTCTTCAGGTAAGTATACCGGTATGTCAGTCACGAACTATCAAGCAAAATAAGCTTACGCCTTTTCCCCTGGGATAGCATGACCACACACTTCCACTCACTGTTGAATTGTTTTAAAAGCTACTGAGACAGGGCCCTAGTCCCTGCCGCACCACACCCCCGCGACGACCAACGCAAGTTCCGTGTGGACACACTTTCGGTCGGTCGGCGTTGCGAGCGATGCCGCACGCACCGCCGAACGAATTTTTGCCACTCAGCTAGGACGCCGCCTAACGAGCCAATACTTATAAATAAAACACTATGCCATTCGACTTTTTACTAAACATACACATACAACTTGCTCACTAAACTGATTACCATTTTTCTTTATATTGTTCCCTTCCTACAGATCTAAACAGTTGTGATAAAAATTTGTTTCTAAGTTTTGTGACAGTTAAATTAACTATGATTGCTTTCATAGCAGTGAAAGCCAGTTGAGCAAAGCGCTCACATTTCATGGTGTTTAGATAAAGCAATCAATTAAAACAATGTTTATAGATATAATACAACTTTTACATCAATTTAATCTATAAGTTTGTCTCAGAACTATCAACATCTAGGCTTATAACAAGTTTCATAAGTAAAGATGTGAACATTACGTACATATCCTTTGTACAGTTCTTTTTATATATTTGCTTGCTAATATCATCTGGTGAACTCACTGTTCTGGTTGAACCCGACCAATCGACACTTTCTCAATCTTGACCAGATTTGGCAATTCGGGCAGAAATAATCCTGTGTGGATCCATATGATCAACAGATGTTATTTTTTTTGTAACTTTGAGAGAACAGCACAAATAGTTTTTACCATGCCTTAAGATCTGTTTTCTTAAATTTTGTACATTTAACACATGAAAAGCTTTGTTTTCAATATAGTGTTCTACATTCAAATAACTCAAAACATTACAAAAAGTAGTTGGTGCGTTTGGGGCATTTATTGCTCGTTTTAATTTTCTACAAATATCAGGCAGTTTTTTAGATGCATTCTGAAATTGTCCTAAATATGACACTCTTATGCGAATTAGGTCTTTTCTCGTAAAACTAAAACATAAACAACTATTTTAGGTTTACTTACTTGGGCAATTATATACCCCAAGTCGTTTCCATCACGATGCTATCATCAAATACCCCCGCCGCAGCCAGTGGCGTAACAGTATTTCCCCGGGCCCCCCCGCAAATATGTCTGTGGGCCCCCTACTACCCCTCCCATTCCCCACCACAGCACTATATACCACAACCATCACCACACCACAACTATCACATGACGTAGGTGACGGCAGGCATACGGCCTACACGATCAGACTGGCAGAGGATGGTCTCTAGCAATATCAAGTATTTACCTATTCTTCAACCACACGACCAGAGTCGTCCTTGAAACATATTTTATATTTTGTCACTGTCACAGTGATAATAAACTTGGGAGTTATGTCCGTGATTAATATATATGGGCTACTCCATTACTCCACCATTCACATTCATTACTAAACTCAACCAAGCTTCCAACTAATTTGAGTCGGGACTCGGGACCACGAAAGTTTGCAGTTGAGGGAGTAGCATATTTACCATTTGACTTCAAATGAGCCAATGAGGGCAGTGCGGTGTTGCCAAATCGAATAATACCAGCTGTTTAAAAAATGTTGTTTAGTATTTTTATTAGTGTCGTCAAAGGGCGATATGGCAACGTCGCACTAGTCTTGTGATTGGCTGCCGCCAACTGCTAACTTTCGTGGTCCCAACTGTAAATGTTAGTGCTTCACTAAATTAGCCCAATTTAATGACATGCCACCTGATTGAGAAACTCTCGCGACATGCACTACTGACGAGTCACTCGCAATCCGCATAGAATGGATCTCCAAAATCAGGTGATCTACGGTCAGCTGAGTACACGTGAGCGGTTAGTGGTGGAGGGGGGGAGGGCCGAGGGGCTGGCTCCGAGTGTGTGTCGCCACGGCGCGGCGGCAGGCCGGCAGGCAGGCCCGGCACACAGCTCCTAGCGCTAGCATGAAGCTACACAACCACACTGACAATACACATCGTCGGGTGATCGTAGTGAGCGTTGGCGTTTCGTTAACAATATTGTTAATTAAAAGATAAAACTTTAGTAGATTTGGCAGAATAAAAGTATCTACCAATTTTAAATTTACGCTTTTTTGAATTTTCTCCGCAACCATTAGGCATACAACAATGCTTCAATATACTAAATTATTTCTTTTTTTAAGCTCTACAAAATGGTTGGGAAAGAAATTCCAAAATTTTATGTTTTAGGGTGAAAAATGGGAAAAACTTATTTTTACCCCAAAAAACCCCCCATAAACACCTGTTTCCATAGTACGATCAAGCTGCTTCGCGAACTCGTTCGAACAAACGTAGGTTTACATGTTTGTATCAAATTTCACCAAAATCGGATGATTTTTGCTCGAGTTATAACGGGCACATATATAAATATATGAATTTGAACGGATCGTGTTTTTGGCCTCTATGGACCTCAAAACCAAAAAGTAAATCGGTCCCGGGTCCAGGTCTTACCATGAGTACTACGGTAATAGCTTATTCCCTATATGGGAAATTCACTAAAAGATTTCAAATGTTGCAATAGGTTGGGAAGTCTAGGACTTGTTGTTTAAACTCAGTGGGGAATAGTGTGTTTTGTTGATAGTAGCCAATTTACATAAATATCAATCTAACAATATGTAGAAAAAGTAGGATAGCAGCTAGCTTACCTTGAAAGTGTAGGTAGGCCACAGAACATGTAGAAAATACACTGTGCACACAATATTTCGTCCCCTGAGGGTTTTTGTCAAGTGTAGAGAAAGAGTTTACAAATTAAGTTTAAATTTTAATTGGTGATTTAAAATTTGGCCACCAAGCTTAAGATAATGTTTTTTATTTATTTTTTATTTTATTTTTAAACACCAACCTAAACCATTGTTTACGTGTGTATTGAGGTTGTCAAGGTTAAATAGTTGCGTATCGTGAGGTTTTATATTAAGTCGATATTGGCACACTCAAATGTTTCCACATGAAACAAGCATTGAATTGGTGTTTGTTTGTTGTTTTGTTGAATATCCAAATAGCTTTGCTGTGCTCCACTCAATAAGGTCTCACTTTGAATCTGTACAAGTTTTTTGTTCCATAAAATTCATAAGATTTTAAAATCATGTCAAACATATCCTTTTATAATTAATTTAAAATGTGTAATAAGCTAAATTCGTAAATTATCACTAGGCAAAGCCGTTAAATATTTACAGATAAACCCTAAACATTTTTTAACCCTAAATGTTCGTTTCTGTGTACGTGTGCGTGTTAAATGTATTTATTTATTATGAATTGACGACCTTCGAATGAAGCAAGAAGACATCTGTACTGGCCTGACGATGACTCCTTTGTGAGTAAAAACCGGTTGCAATTTAGCAACACATTGATCACATAAATGCAGATATTTACACCATTATTGTATTTAAATGTGATCAGGAGGCTAAAATTCAATATAATGAAGATATTGGTTGTTTGTGAGCATTGTGTCTGTGTCAATGGTAACTAAATCAAGGATATATCAATCCTGGGTTGAGTGTTATCAAGGAAAACCGTTAATTACAGACACAGTAATATTATTGTGCATTGTTACAGATATCGGCTGTTTCGTGAACATTGTGTCTGTGTCAATGGTAACTAAATCAAGGATATATCAATCCTGGGTTGAGTGTTACCAAGGAAATCCGTTAATTACAGACACAGTAATATTATTGTGCATTGTTACAGATATCGGCTGTTTCGTGAACATTGTGTCTGTGTCAATGGGAACTACATCAAGGATTTATCCATCCTGGGTCGAGACCTCTCAAAGACAATCATTGTGGATAATTCTCCACAAGCTTTTGGATATCAGGTGAGCTCCAATCAATACATTCCTATAAATAGTTGTAAAGGTTTCTAACCTTTTCTGGAAATAAGTTTTGACCTGATATTCTAGCACAATAAATGCTCATTTATTATATTATCATGCATTTCGGTTGTTTAATAAATATCTCTCTGATTGTTGGATCAATCAACTATTGAATCAGTCCTTGCAATTAGTGATGTGACGAGTCGGGTACTTTCCTGACTCGAGTGACTCGACTCGCCAACTGCCGTGAACTCGAGTTACGAGTCGAGTCAGACTCAACTCGAGACGTTCCGAGTTCGTGTGAGTTCGGCATTCTCCGTACGAGTTCGTTAGTTTTGCGAGTCGGCCGACTCGGTACCGGCCAATAGCGTGTCAGCTTTACGAGTCGACTCGAGACGTTCCGAGTTCGTGTGAGTTCGGCATTCTCCGTACGAGTTCATTAGTTTTGCGAGTCGGCCGACTCGGTACCGGCCAATAGCGTGTCAGCTTTACGAGTCGACTCGACTCGACTCGAGACGTTCCGAGTTCGTGTGAGTTCGGCATTCTCCGTACGAGCATGCCGTGTACCGCAGGGGGCTCACGCTTGCGTGGGTTCGTGGCCTGGGCGACCACGCGGACCCTAGCTCTCCCAGAGGGGAGGTAACTGCCCGGTGTCAGACCCGGCACTTCAGGTAGACCACAGTTATGGACGACTGGTAAGCGCCAGCCCCTTAGGGGGAGCCTCCAGTGACATTCCCTCCATTCAGGGTGGGGGGGTGTTTAGCTCTCAGTGACGCCGTTAATTCCGCCTCTCCTCAACTACCTGTAACTGTGGTTGTGACTGAGTCCTACCTGTTGTGTTCGACTGACATTTTGTGAGGCATATCCTCGACTTTGGAAGTAGCCTCGTCCTGGGAGGTGAAATACCTAGCCCCCAGAGGGGAGGTAAATGCTCCGTGTTGGTATCGGCATTTCAAGTTGGCCACAGACATGGTCGACTGGGCATCGGGTCCCAGTGACATTCCTTTATCCAGGATGGAGGGGTGTTTAGCTCTAGGAGAGATGGAAGTACATCATAATCTCTAACCTACCTGTGTCTGTGGTACTTTGGGCTTCGGCCTGCTTGTGGTGTGCGACCAGCATTCAGTGGGCAAATCCTCGACTTTGGAAGTAACCTTTCCTGGAGGTGAAAACGGGCAAGTACCCGCAGCTCACGGGGACACTCAAGGGCAACGTAACTTTCCGCAGTGTGAGGGCAACGGTTTGTAGGTACTTATGCAAACCTATCCCTGTCTCTGAGCACGGACGGTATGGTTATCTTGAGTGTGGGGGGTTCTTCCCGGAACCTCAATTGAGTCAAGGGTGTCGCCACCTCTGGTGGATAGGTTCATCCGGGTGGGTCCCACTTCTATACCTGCCTCCTTTTGGGAAACCCTGATGGCCTGGCAGTGATGTTGGGTCTGACGGGCAAACGAAGTAGATCGGGTGCTGGGTCCGAGCCCGCCAGGGGTATCTGGGGATCTATCGCTCTGGATATCTCTGGTTCCCAGCAATGGGTCAGGCCTCGATCGGGCAGCGGTGTAAATGGGAGGTTGGGGTTCCCCCCGTCAGCGTGCTGATGGTCCCCTTCCTCCTGGCTATTGATGGCGGGTTCTGCCTGTCAGGGATGAGATAGGTCCCGAGTGTTGCTTGCACTAAATGCGTCGGGGCGCTCTACTATGGACCTCTAGGTTCCGACCTAGTGGAACCCAGGTGGAGTGACGCTTAAACAAGCAGCCGGAATCCCTGGTTAGGATTGAGGGGCAACCCTCTTTCCGAAGGGTCTGCTTCGGCAGCCGGCGAGCCTGATGACCTTAAGTCATCCGCCCATGATGTGCTAAAGGTTGATGCGTAAGCTTCGGCCTACATCATGGGGCCCGGGTATGTCCTGTAGGATAGGTACCGGGTAAGCAGTCAGGGGGCTTCGGCTCTCATGACAACAAATAATAATAATAATAATAATAATAATAATAATAATTCTCCGTACGAGTTCGTTAGTTTTGCGAGTCGGTTGACTCGGTACCGGCCAATAGCGTTGAATCTATGCGAGTTGACTCGTAAAGCTGTGACGCTATTGGCCGAAAGCGAGTGCGAGTAAACTCGAGTCAACTCGTTACGTCCCGAGTTCGTTAAGGTTCGGCTTTCTCCGTATGAGTTCGGTTTCTTGACTCGGCTTTTGCGAGTCGGACTCGTAACGTTACGAGTTCGTGTGGCTTCGGCAATCTCCGTACGAGTTCGTAAAAGAACTCGAGTTGGAATTGAGTTGACTCGACTCGGGTCTTGACTCGAGTCAACTCGACTCGCCAACTCAACTCGTCACATCACTACTTGCAATCTTAAAATTAGGGTAGTTAGGCCTTGAAACCTTGTTAAGATAAATTTCTAAAGATTTATGTACTTGCTTCGTTAAGGTTGATCTCTACGTACAAGAGGTCTTTGAGATACAGGGCTAAAGTACCACTGTGGCATTATTATCATTAGTAGCCCTATTGCTTGCCAATTCATTACTGTTTGGTTGCTGGATGAAAACTCCTGTCCCTATTTAGATTTCTATTTTAGTTTTGAGTGAAAATCAGGAAACTCGTTAAAAAACACTTTTTCATAGTAAATTATTGTAACAACTCTTATTTTTTCTAGTTGGAAAACGGCATACCAATTGTGAGTTGGTTTGTGGACCAGAGTGATTCAGAACTCATGAAACTGTTGCCTTTTTTAGAGGATCTGGTTTATTTGGTAAGTGTTCCAACAACTAGTTTAGACTTTTAAGTATTTTTTTCCTACCACTGCATGGAAATGATCACATTTCCATACCTGTAAACAGTACATAAAATAGCTCATTTCCGCTTTATTCATCCTTGCTTGTGTTTGCAAGTGGGAATATTCCTGCTCGCTAAATCAGCTGATTTCACTGTTGACGTTTCTATAAAACACTAACATCCGATAAGTAAATAACATAACCTAAAATTAGGGATGGACGAGATTGGATTTTTAGTTCGAGACGAGACGAGACAAGATTTTTTATTTCTCATAAAATTTCGAGACGAGATCGAGACGGGATTTCCCTTCTCATACACAACGGGAAATGCACTTTCGGAATTTTCACCTGATTTTGTAACATTGTTTAATGACTGTTTAAATACAAAAATAATGATAATAGGCAAGAATATTTACAATCTTTTATTAAAAAAACATCAGCATAACATTTTTTTATTAATCACGCCTAACTTATTAAAAATGCCTACGATTAGGAAACATAGTGATATCATTTAGGATAGAGTTCAACGTATCCTAAAATAAAATAAATCATAAAATAAAATATTAATTTTTATAAAATAGTAACTTGTTTTGACTTTTTTTATAGTAATAAAACATTCCTCACACTGCTAACACTTAACAAAACTTCTCAAATGTTATTAAAATAATTAAAGTAAATAACAAAACTTCTCAAATGCTATTAAAATAATTAAAGTAATATTTACATTTGAAGAATTAATTAAATAAGAACGCCTTCGCAAAGGAAACGCAACTACAACACGCTCCTGTATTGCGGGTACTGCATTGACTTTCTGCAGGAGTTTTTTTTTAATTTTTTTTTTTAAATTCTCGTCTCGATAAAAATCTCGGCCAAAAAGAAATCTCGTCTCGTGTAACGAGATTTAAAATTTCCCGAAATTTCGAGATTTGACCATCCCTACCTAAAATACCAAATATAATATAAATGACACTATATACAACTAAATAGTTAATCTGTGTGTTATTATAAGTTAATTATAGTGGTAGGAAAAATATTGTATATATTACGAGCACAAACAGTCATTGTCCCTCTCGAATGTATGGCCACATACAGCTTAAGCTTCGCGTGGTCATCTACAGTTCTCGAGCGACAATGACGTAATTTGCGCTCTTAATACACAAATATTGTATGACTACAATCAAACCTATTAGCGTGTACATTAATAGAAATAATGACTAAAAATTTCATATTTTGCAACTGCGGTATTTTCTTTTCGTTGTCAGATGTTTTCATGGTATTTGTGACAATGGCTTAAGAACAGAAAAAGGTTCTGGGGTTTGAATGGGGGAAAATTTAACACCTTTAATAACTTTGATGACAGAGAAGCTTGATTTATTTGATGATTTTGAACATGTTTTATTGTTGGATGTATTTTTTCCACTGTTCATGCTATACAACCTTTCAGCTTATCCTACCATGTCGCTGGTGGTTTAGGTCTGATAATCAAGACTAAATGTAATATTTTTGTTCTGAAAGAGTTGTTCACTGAAGTTAATTTGTTCATTTTCAGAATGAAGATGTCCGGCCACACATCAGGGACAAGTATCGTCTCTTTAGCTTTTTGCCCCCCGATTAAATAGTCCAGACCTCTCGCTACTCTCAGGCCTTCTATACATTATTACTAATTGATAGCTAAACTGGTTAGTTTATTTTTAGCTTTACCAATTATTGCTGTTAAAGTTGTGTTTATTTATTGGTTTAAATTTTTTTTATCAGTATTGTCATTATAAAGCTTTGTAAAGTTCTGTGTTTAAAGATATAGAAATATTTTTTATAATAATGTTAAGCCATTGTTTTTATTTTTAATAATGTTTAGTAATGACAGAGTTAACATTTTTGAACACTGCTTGCACACAAGGTTTATATTATAAAAGTAGAAGAATAGTTATTGTAAAGTTATTTAACTCTATATTGTTAAAAACTCTATTAGAGAACCTTTTGCTTGCCGAATGTATTTCTTAGCCAAACTATCTAAAGGCTGCAAGCCCAAGCCATATTTTATAACACATTTACTTAGAAGGCTTTACTATACAAAGAAGATGTTTACTTTTACCCTTACAAGTTTATTTTGAATATGTTCTAAATTTATTCCAAGCTGAAAAATTTAGACCTTACCTTTATCTTTTTTTAATTTTTAACAATATTTCCTAAGAAAATCCATTTTAAATTTCCTTAACCAAATAGTTTCAAAAAGGTTTGAATAATACTGTTTTTATCTGAGATATCTAATATTCATCTCATATTATGTAGGTTTGCTGCCATGGTTGTATTTTAATGTTGTTTTAGGGCTAGATAAAAAAAAAACTATAGAGTTTAAAAATATATTGTTAGTTGTATAGATATTTTAATGATTTAAAAAAAAGTTATATTGATATAATTTGTATTTTTTTTCTGGACTCATCCAGTTGTTAGGGATAGATATTCATTATAGAGGGTGATTAAAAAAGAATGACCCAATTTCAAACAGTTATATTTATTTCAAAAAACGGTACACACAAACAAATTTTACATCAAATTACTCACAAAAGCATCTAGTTTATGATGATGTATTATAAGTGTTCTATGTGCCCTCCATTTGAGGCTTGGACGACGTCTAGATGGTAGGCAAATTCATCCCAGACTGTTCGCAAGATGTCTTCTCAGATAGTAGCTACTGCATCAGTTATCCTGATCTTCAGCTCCTCAATATCACGTGCTAAGGGAGGAACAAAAACACGATCTTTAACGTATCCCCACACGAAAAAATCACACGGTGTTATCGTTATGTCAGGGGACCGTGGAAGCCAGGAATGCATAGCCAAGTCTTGTGGTCCTGTGCGTCCTATCCAACGTTGAGGCAAGTTGGTGTTGAGGAAATGGCGTACATCCTTGTGTCAGTGTGGTGGTGCTTCAACTAGTTGAAAGATGAAGTTGTCCGAGTCAAGAATTAGTTGAGGTAATAACCAATTTCGTAGCATTGCTAGGTAAGATGCACCATTAAGACACACCTTCGTTTGTGAAACCACACAAAAAACGTTCACTTTAGGCGAATCTCGTTCATGCTCCACTGTTTAATGGGGGTTTTCGGTTCCCCATATACAAACATTATGTCGATTCACTTTACAGCTCACATGAAATGTGGCCTCATCACTGAATATCAACCGTGGCAAAAAGGTATCCTCCTCCCATTACAAAAGTCAACATGTCTCCTTTTGTCACCAGCACGGAGCGCTTGTACGGGTTGCAATCAGTATGGTCGTAAGGCCAAACACCACCTTAACACACGCCACACAGAAGTCTGAGCAACTCCAAGTTCTCGGCGCTGTGTCAACGTACGCTGGTTCAATTAGAACTTCTCCCGAATCTGTTGAACTGCCTCTTCAGATGTGCGTGGTGGACCGGCACTTTTCCCCTTGCATAAACAACCAGTATTAACAAACTGTTTGTACCACTGACGAATGTTCTTTGGTAGAGGTGATTCAGCACCAAAACGAATCCGATGCGCTCGTTGAACAGTTACAATTGAGTTTTGCTAAACTGAAGAATGCAAAAAGCCTTCTGTTGAGTGGACGCCATATTGTTTCAGACTTCCTAGACGCTCAAGGTCAGCGCTCTTGTTGACATCTAGCGGCGATTTTTCAAAACTCTAGACCTCTCCAGTTGTCAGTAATGCAGTTTCATTGGCGGTTGTGCACTAAGATCCATAATATTTTAAGTTAAAATTGGGTCATTATTTTTGCATCGCCCTTTATATTTTATATGACACGTTTTTGTTTTCTTAATACTACTCTTTTCAAATATTTGGTAAATGTCATGCACAACTTTCCCATGGTCTTTATCTCTAAGCTTGGGCCGAAAATCTCCTTAGCCTAATACAGGAATATATTATTAACAATTATCTTAAGCTTTTTTATACAAATTTGTGTGAAGAACTTTTCTATAAAACCCAGCAGATTTATTAATACTTACACATTGAAGGTAATGATAATATTTAAATGGTGAATAAACAAACTTAACAAACAAAAGGATCTACGCTAAAATAATTTCTGATCCACAAATATATTGCAAATACAGTGTTAAACAGGAACTAGGCAAATTTAAAACCCCCATTAAATTATTTATTACCTAATAGTGTTAACGAAATCTTATCAAGTATTATTTATCTTATGGCTAAAGTAACCTTTCAAAATGAAAACTAAAATGTAACTGTGTATTGCTCTGAAAATATATTTATATTTTTGTTTTAGACTTGCATAAAACCACATATAGTTTTTGAAAAGTCTTGATATTCGTATTTAAAATGCATTTTTTTTAGTTATGTGAATAAATGTAAAACTAACTTTCTTAGTTCATAGAAATGTTATCTGAAATGATTTTTTTCATGGAAATGAACAAATAATTGTTAAACAATGAGGGTAGCTACTTGGCCAATTAAGCTTACTGCATCAAGTTGGAGACTTTTGTGAAGCCGTTATTTTTAATAAAAAAAAAGGAAAACTACACATTTATTTCTCATTGACGAGGTACTATATCAAAACACTTTTTTAACAAAGCTTGTATACCTTCAAGGTTTGATTAAATGGCATCATGAAATGTCCAAAACTCATATAATACCATTAGCAATCCCTTTCTTATTGATTCATTTCAAACACAATTTTGTTTTAACCCAGAGAACTGTTGTATTATAGACTTTTTTTAACAATATTAATGACTGTGAAAATGCAATAAACATTTAAAAAAAGTTTTGGGCAAGCTATTTATCAATAAGTTATACATATCAACGCTTTATACATTTTTTTTAATGGCCTGTGTCAGGGGGTCTAGGATTGCATTGCAAGTGCTCTCATTTAATTCTGTCATAAGAGAACACTTATACATTATAATACATCAAAACATGCTTCATAATTTTCCTCCTTATGTAATTTCCTCATCCTATTAATTCTTTTAATTTTAAATTTGTTTATCGGGAAACCAGAAGAGTGTATCCTTCAGAGAAACGAAAGTATGCTAGTGAGCTTATTTGTACAACTGAGCCCTCATTGGACTTGGAGTAGCACAGCCAAGCTTTATCTGAACACATTTTCCCCTTCAATCTCAGTTCTTCCCATGTCTGTTGTGTTTATAGTTCTCTGTAAACTTATGTTCCTTATAGTGTTATGACTGTGCAGAAGGTCTCGGAAAATGTATGGTACTCGTAGTTAGTTCGTCGTCATTAAGTGTTGTTATTTTGTAATGTTTTAGAAACTAATACAAACAAATCACAATCTACACATGTAAGTGTTATATAAAACTAACATTCAAATTTATATAGAAACATTATTTTAAATATAAATAATTTTAAGATTGCCCTAGATGTAGAATGTCTGTCACCTGTACATTTATTATTAGGCAATTTCGATGTGGAGGTATCTGTTTTCAAGCATAGTAGTAACCCAAGTTTTAAAATTTGTAACGGCAAAGCCATTATATTCTGATGACTTATCGATCATTATTGAATAAGGGGCGGATTTCAGGTTGAAGCATGTTAATCATAGCTTATTGTGCATGCACTCAAAGTAATTAGCAGGGCATTAAACTCAAAGTCGTGCATTTTCACTTTACTGGTTATAAATTAAATGTATTTTGTGGAGGATCTGATTTAAGTTCAGCAGATTACTGTTAGAACAAAAAATATATTGTTCATTCATGATTAAGATTTATGATCTCAACCCTAAACTTATAGTCACATCATAGTTTTAACCTCTTGACCATATCGTTTAAGGTTAAATTTAATGTCTGTTTAGTGATCTGATTGTGGAATTACAGTAGAGCCTTTTAAGGCTGTTTTACTTTTAGCTATTCTCCCTTTAGCCACTCTTTCTGTATATTTCCCTTGGGCATTATTCTGTAGTGGTCAAACAGAATGAAACTTCTAAATGGTTTGAGTTTTGCATCATTCTTTTTAAAGTTCAGACTGGTTAAAATTTTCAATAACTTTTTAGAATCTTGGAGGAGACACTTTATAGTGGTCGTAGAACGACTAAAAAACGGCTACCTTCACACGAGTGCAATAGTATTTAAGTTAAGCGTAAATCAAATCAATGTCATTGTAGACTAACCTGTTAAATGCAATAATCTACTAAAAAGTAATTAATAACTACTAGCACAAGTTGATAGTTAACAAACAACTTTGCACTAGTAGTCACACCATTGGAACATTAAGTAATTTTGTATTTAAATATTATTTGAAAAATTCAAAATGTTTTACAGAATAATTTAACCTTATTTAAAGAGTGCCTTTTGTTATTGTGTTATTAACATAATTTTATAACTGAATACTTAAAAGTTTCTCAATAAAATATAGTTCTTAAGCTAATATTTATGTATAAATTGCACCATTGTTTAGTTGACAGTTGGTATTTTATTTGTACTTACATATGATATATTTACATTTTTTGTACTGTTGGTTATACTTGCCGTGTCAAAATAATTTAATTTAATAAATTTTTTTCAATTTCAGTGTGCCTATCCTTTCAATCCAACATTTCAGAATACTCCCTATCGCTCAGGTATGTTTGGTACTTCACCTCACATTGAATAGCTTTGTAAACAAAGCTATGGATAAAGCACAAAACACTACCTGTCTATACTTCTTTGCACATACAGATTTCATCGCTATAGTTTCCCTTATTTAATACAGAACACTGTAGCAGGGTGTCCACATTCTGGAAAGTCAGGGATAGTCATGGGAAAAAATTATGGTCATTGAAAGTCATGGAAATAGGCAAAAAGTCATGGAATGTCATGGAAATCCCCAATGATGGATGGATTTCAGGGGACCTTTCAATGCTCTAGTCGGCCGTAACCGCGACTATTGTAGCATTTTTCCGAATTTTTCACAAATCCAGCTCATTAGTTAGTGTATTATTCATTTAGATTTAAATTTATGAACATAAATTTACTAAAAGATTGAAAATAAAACATATATAATTTAAAGCCAAAATAAATATTTAAATTGGAAATCTATTTTTTTCCATTTACAGTGACGTCAATATTTTCATAGCCAAGCTTCATAACCAAGCTTTTGTGATCTTAAAAAATACACAAATACCATTAGCTGCCAGCTACCTCCAAACAAAACAGCTGTAACGACCCTACTTGCGATGTTGCCACATCGAAGGCCGCGGCCTAGAGGTAAAGCAGGAGGTATTTGTGTATTTTAAGAATACGGAAGCTTGGTTAATGCGATATGAAAATATTGACTACACTTTATATGTACAAAAAGAGATTTTCAATTTGAATATTGTTTTGGTTTTCAATTCAATATGTTTTATTTTAAACCTTTTAATACATTCATGTTCATAAATTTAAATTTAAATTAAAATACGCGAATTATTGAGCTGGTGTCACCTGCCTGCCATGTTACCTTATGGGACGTCTAGTGCGAGTGTTGACAACACTACTTGCAACGTTGCCAATTCTACCAGGCCGCGGACTGGAGTTAAAGGTGGCCGTGCTAACAGCCAAAAGTGTGAGAGCTGATTCCAGCCGAAAGCAGGAACACAAACTATTGAACATCTAGCTTAAAATTATTATTATATTGAATTGAATTGAAGCCTCCTGATTGCAAAATACTAAAGAATTGGTGTAAATGCCTGAATTTATGCGATCAAATGTGTTGCTAAATTGCTACCGGTTTCGACCCACATGTCATCGTTGGGCCAGTACAGATGCCTTTTCGCTTCATTCGAAGGTCGTAAATTCATAATAAATAAATACATTGAACACACACACGTATACGAACATGAAAACTAACATTTGTTTAATGTTAAAAAGTAATTCACCTCATTTTAGAATTCAAATTTTTGTTATCGAAAATACAGTTATTTAGTTTAGAGCTTAGATTTATTTAATTTTTGTGCTCAAAAAAGAAAGTGCAGTGATTAGAACAATTTTACAATACCCATAGACTGATGATATTGTTAACTCTTAACTTGTTAACCCCCTATCATGGATCAATAGTCTATTCGGGGTCGTTAGTGAGGTTTTGATCAACATTCAGAGTGAGTGGCCTATCAATATAATCTGTTTTTGAGTTTGTTTCTTTGTTTATGGTGTTCCATAGGCTATTTCCTTTATTGGGTTGCTGGAGCTCTTGTTCTTGTTACGGAACTTATCGTTCATAATGTACAAAAAAGCTGCAGCTGTTTGTACGGAACTACATTCAAATCGTTCCACTCAGTTTTGAGCTGCAGCTGAAAAAGTAGTTCCAGTGGAACTGGAACTGGATTGTGGTTCCGCTTGGAACGGTAGAACGAGTTGCACTCTCGGAACGGTGGATAAATGTAGATGTAATTCCAGGTTCCAGCTGCAGCGACAGCGACACACCTCTCAGCAGTCAGCTGTCTCACTGTCTCAGCCTCAGCTGCAACTCACTAACTCAGTCAGTCACTCATTCCCGTATTAAATTAACCTCAACGTCAACGTCAACCAAACATTGTAAACAATACTAATCTACGTATTTGTTTACTAGACGCGTCGCACATACTGATTAGTAAGTTAAAATTACCTAGACCCTAGACATAATTGTGTATTAATCTTTTACAAATTGTGCTTCTTGAATAAAAAGGTTCAGCTCAAAACATGGAATTTAAATCTGGGCCTAGTCCTAAACCAACTCCATCCAAGTATTAGATAGGTACCATGACAATATATTAAGGTAAAGATCATAGATGGCCAACCCTATTTTTTGAAGCAAGCAGACAAGTGTTAAATTTGTAAATTTCTTACCTTATAACAGAAAGAGCAACTCCAACTCCATGTTTTAATTTAGGAAATGGCTTTCGGGATCTAGGCTAGAGGAGACTCCTTTGGGTTGTTTGTTTAAATGTGCTTGTTGTTTCATATCATACTTGTGTTTTATTTAACCATGAATAATCTACTAAGTTAAAGGTTTTGGTGTAAGAAAGCATTTACTAAAAGTTATCGGCTTGTTACAATCTTTATCAATTAATTATTATCTACTGTGTTTTGTTATGTTTACAAATATTTTTCCACATTTTACGTGTTTGTATTGTATTTGTTTTGTGTACTATTGATTTGATTACCGTACTGTTAATTTCTTATGTCATGTCCAATTGATATAATGTGTATTTAATACACTGTAGATGTTTATGATATAAACTTTTAGAATTACAGTAGAGTCCCGCAAACTCGGCACTCGATAACCCGGCAGTCTGGATAACTCGGCCATCATCTGGTGGGTACAGTTTCTAAACCTTTTGGGCTATGCTAATATCAATTGAAACTATCGAATTGAAAATATTGATTAATAATTGATATTTTTAAATATATCTATTATTAAATTAAACTATCATAACCTAACCTAACCAACCAAACTTGCTGATAGTGAAAAAATCGCATGAAGGTTTACTTATCGAATCAATATTTTCAATCAATATTAGCATAGGCCCAGTTAAGAAACTGTACCCCATCTGGCCCAGAAAATTAGTGATTTTTTTAGTCCGAGTTAAACATGGACTCAAGTCAGCTCAAAGTCATATCATTCTCAGCTTGTACAAATCATTTGTTGTACTATATCTGATTACTTAATAGTGACTTGTAATATAAATATAAATAAAAGAGGTAGTTAATTAGCTTACCAACTGTATTGTTCTTATTTTTAACCCTAGTTCCCGATAACCCGGCATTTCACAAACTCTGCACCCTTCCAGTCCACATTACGCCGAGATTGCGGGACTCTACTGTATTACTTTATTGTCAAAAGTTAAGGAGGGGGAAATGTAATAGGCTACATGCATATTAATTTATAATGTTTTTAGATTTGTTTATTGGCTACAGTGATGTAACGGATGTTTCATTTCATTAAATTCATACTGTTGGTTGACGATTTAAATCTAACCAATCATCAATAGTATCCTATCCCCCAACTGTCCAGGATGATCCATCTCTTTGGCCTCAGTTGTCCCCCAGTCCTAAATTATCAAAGTATTTTTTCATTTTTCTTATAAATCAACAGATGTTTCTTATAACAAAACCACTAACTGAAACTAATGTTTTCAGTGAAGCTGGTTGGTCTCTGAAACCTAATCTATCTTATCAGTTGAATTGTGTGTCGATGGGCAACCTGCAGAAGATGGAAGATTATGGACCTAATGTGAAGTATGTAGGCTATAAGCAATTAAGGTCTAGCCTATTAATAATTATAGTTAACCGGTGCATAGTAAACTCAATAATGGCAAGGCAATTTCTGCTACTTTGCAGACATATTTTTGAATATAAATTAGATCAATAGAGCAACCCTAAGTTATTGAACCATATACTTGATTTGTGCGTAATATGAAGAAGAATTTGAAAATTGTAAAACTATAAATATTAAGAAAAGTTATTTTCAAAATAAAGTAGAAAAACTAAGGAAGAAGAAAAATTCTTCTAGTAAAGTTTAAAAGGTGACAGGTGATTTTGTACGTGAAATCCATAATAGACAAATTTTTCTTATTTATTTCCCTATAGAAAAATGTAAAATGTTCTAAACACAATTAGGTATTTTTTTGTGTGTAATAACCTTAATAACCTAGGTACTCGTTAAACCTAATGTTTTTTAAATAGATCTAATTGAAAATCAATTCAAACAAATGGAAATTCGCTTAGCCGGTAGGTTTGCTGCGGCAGGGAGTGTTTGGTTATATTTCGATCAAATTTGGCAATACTTATTTTTTTCAAACTAAGCTATTAATATTTTACTAAAAATAATCTTTATTTGGTTCCCTGTAGCAGCAAACTTAAGTAAATCATTAAACCTAACGTTATTTAAACAGGGAATACATTTTATATTTTTAAGGAAATAATCTAATTTAGATTGTAATAGGCGAATAGAAATTTGCTTAGTCGGCAGGTTTTCTGCGGCGGGGATATATTCTTTTTAGGATTTATTTGTTTTATATTGTAAAAATAATGTGTAAACAGTGAGGGCAACATTGTTAGGAATCATCATTAGGATTATTTCTGATTGATCCTTCATCCTGAGTCTCGTAGGGGGAGGGGGAGATTTAAAGTCTGTCTAGGGTCAGAATAAATAGCCAAACACAAGCCTTGACCAAGCATTCTTTTTTGTTATGATTTTGATTAGATTTTGTTTTTTGTACCTATGCTAATGGCCCAGTTAATTTATATTTTTTAAATTTATGCGAGTCCGAAGATTTGTATGCTATGATTGACATCTTATAGGCACATACTGAACAGGTCAATATCAGTCACTGGATTGCAGATCATTACATTTTTTAATGCTAATAACCGTAATAATTTTGAGGAGAAAAAATGAATGAATTAGACTTATTTTTTGAAGTTCAAATTAGTTGTAATTTTAAACAGATTTTCATAATTATTTCTATGCTAGGTATTAATCACAACTAATCATCAGGTTATCATTTGTAAATACGGCGTATTTCATTACCTCTAGTTTGTTTAACATTTTTATAATTGTTAGATTTCAATCTATG